GCTCGCCGTCTTCCTGCCCGGCAACCGCGGAGCGTGCCTAGCTGCGGGCGCGGCCCCGAGGCGGATCCCTGCGCTCCCCGAGCCTCGCCGTGCGGCCGGTGGCTGCGCGCTGCACGCCCGGGGCAAAGCCCGGGGGCTTGCGGCAAACCGTGACCTTGGGAAGGGGCGTGCAGGAGCCTAAACCGCGGCGGGGCGGCGCGGGAGAGGCCTTTGGCTGATGCAGGCCCGAGGAAGCGCAGGGGCTTGTTGATGAGGCTTGGCTTCCAGCGGCTGCCAGGGCCGCGAAAGAGGAGCGCACCCCGAGCTAGGCGAGGAGCGGCGTTCGCAGCAGGGCCGCTCACGACGATGTAAATGGCGCGCGAGTAGGAGAGCGCGAGTTCGGGCCGAAACGACTCTCAGCCTCCCCTGCTGGTCCCGCCCCTCCCCCGCCAGGGCCTTCCCGGGGCGAGGTGGGGGGAGACACCGGCGTCTCCCCGAGTTTACCCGAGGATCCCGAGCGGGCCAGGGAGTCCGTGTAAATAAACAACCCGCAAGATTTATGGGGGAGTTCAGTTTTATAGGACTGTATTTATAGAGCCAACGCGGGCTCACTTATAAATAGATTAATGAGAAGCTAGAATTAATGGACTTGAGAGCTGCGCGCTTGATTTCTGAGGCTTCAGCGTGGCATCAAACCTCCCAGAAAGCTGGAGCGTGGAAGGCAGCTCGCGCCGGAACCTGAGGATCCCTCGCGAAGGGCCACTTCCCACAGGGCCAGCGATGCTCTGTGGCTCCGACTTCTGACGCCGGGGCCCCGAGGGAGGGCCCCACCGAGCTGTTATGTGTAAATGACGAAAAACAATACCACCTCTTTTTTAAAAAAATCGCTGCTTCTCAGCATTATTTTTAATCAACCCGTTAAACATCTAATACTGGCCTGTGAGTGGGCTTCCGAGGCACTGTAAGACCACCACCTAGTCAGGCAGCCTGCTGGCGAGCAGGGGCGACACCGTCAAGGGGTCCCCGCCGGTCCCTGGCCTGGTCACTCTACCTATCCGGGTACCGCCTTACAAGGCCTTGACAGCCGGGCTGGGGAGCTGTGACAAGCAGTCAGGGCCCTTTTGTGGGGCAACGATTCCTGCCCTTTTTCTTTCCTTTCCCGTTCTTCTAGGTCTTTTCTCCATTTTTTTTTTTTTTTTCTTCCCCACAGTTGAGGCCCTTTAGGGCCTTGGGTTTTATGCGGTAAAGGTGATTGCTTTACCTTCTCCTTGCAAATGGTGAGGCTGACTGGTGGCTGGAGTTTACCAGTGGGATAATAGATTACGTGTCTCTCTGTCCAGGAGTGGTGGTAATGGTCTGTAGGAAAACTTGTCATGAATATGCAAATCTCCCACAACTACCTGTGCATAGTCCCAGTGGTAACCAAGCCCACACCCTGCAAACAAATGGAAGGGGAACTCAGTGTAACACACCTGAGCCGGAAACTGAGGCATATACAGTACATCTTTTCTTTAAGCTAAATGGTTCACCCATAAACACCCTCCCTTTGGTTTTTTTTTTTTTTTTCTTTCCCTTGCTACTTTCTGTTTCCCTTTTTTGTTTTGTTTTTCTTTGATTCCATTCTTTATAGTTCTAGCCATGATACATTCCCTTGTTAAATTAGTAAGATGAGAAGTGGGGAATCTCACATAAAACAGGTTTCATGGTCCCTTCTGTCTTTACTTATAAACCCAATTGGAAAAGATTGACCTGAAAACCAGAAAATGTATATAGGAAGCATAATGTTAATTAACTGAGCACCAGCTGTATTCTTAAGCACTTTCAAGGAATCCAATCATCAAGATGTATTTTCCATTGTATTTAAATGTGGATGCATGCTGCTGTCCTGCTTTTTATAAGGAAACGTGGCAGTGTTGGTGAAGGGAGGGACCCTTCAGAGGTCCATCTTTGACAGATAAATGCCATGAGGACCAAAAGAACCAGTGACTTGTCCAAACTGTAAGACATCTTGGACGACTTTCCTTTCCTGGTCTTAGAAAAGATACCCTATTCTTTGTGTAAAATACGGTTGAGATGTTTAGTCACCACAGTTTATAAGGGACAGGGTGAAACCCAACAACCCAAATAAGAAAAATTGGCTTCTCCATGCAGACTTTCAGCCTAAGGGAAGAGACAGCTTTTTAAAATATATGCAACCTATTCTTCTTCCTGACCAAAGGGATTTCCCCTTATATATTTGTGAAATGTCTTATACTACTGAAAAAGTCAGAGTCAAATTCAGTCCTCAGAAGGTCTAGTTAACTCGTCCAGATCCCAGGCTGTGAGGTGAAGGACCCCACACCAACCCTGGAGATTTCTCTCCCACACCATCTCGTTCTGGGAACACCTTGTCAGTATGTCACACCACCAGCAGTAAGAGGGCAAGGCCATCATGTTTGACTTGAACCCAGAATCATGAAGTTACTGGGAGTAAATTAGAGTTCTCATCAGTCAAAGAGCAAAATAAACCAAAAAGTGAAGTTTAACATGAGCTTTCATTACAAATCTGTTTAAGAATAAGAGAAAAGATTTGAAATTTAAAATAGTAAAATAAAAAAGCACTTCTTAGGAAAGGAAGTGCTTTTTCTGATAAACAAAATTTATTGTATATCTGTTATAAGAAAAAAACAGTGCATGCTTCAGTGAGGGGGTAAAAAGGAAAAGCTTCTTCCTGTAGATCTGTTCTGTCTACACAGTTCAATTCTATCCATATTTAAGAAACTGAAGATGAAACACAACAAAAACACAACAATCTTTTTATTTATGTAAATCAGATCAACACTGGACAATAAACCAATTTCTACCCAGTACCATAACAGCTTGTCTATAAAGAACAGAAGAATTCAGATAGGATTCTACCTAGGGTCAAGCGGTTTTATTTTTAACCACCCATTCACAGAGGTATAGATTCACAGATAAATAATCCCAAACTACTTGCTCGCCATATTTACACATTCCCATTAAATTAAGCATAAATAAATATATACAAACTTAACATGGATAGCCTCCAGAGCTCTTCTCATGGAGAGTCAATAGATTGATATTTCTCGATTGTGTGGCAAAAGCAACGTTAGTGAATTAGACACCAACCCGAAGGAGGAGTGGGTTTTGGAATTTTAAGAAGGATGGAGTTCATTCCTTTTAAAAAAAAAATACTAATTTCAGTGTTTCTCTTTTTATGCCAATAATTTAATGTACATCATTCAAGGAGGGAAAACACTTTTGGGTGGTTGAGGCAACATCAGATGGTTTAGGGTTATCTTTTCCTTTCCACATAATGCATTGTAAGTACAGGATATCAGATGCGATGACAAATTTTCTATGAACACTCTAACTAGGAACGCGTTGTACTGGAAGAACACTGTGTACATAAATTCAGACTTGCGTGTTTTCCATTGGACCAAAGTTTTCATAGGACATGAAATAATTGTTTGAGAAAAGAGTGGTTTCCTCGGCCAAAGAAAACAAAAGTCAAGTCTTTGAAAGCCTCTTCAGTTCTTTAGGTGGGGGTGAAGAAAGCTAAGGATGTGGAGGCCGGAAAGAAGGAAAGAAAACGCAAGATAATTCGGAAGTGGGGAGGAGAGAAAGTTACTTCCCACTTGGGGGAGAAGTTAAAGATCCCTTCCAGACGATAAGCTCGTTCAGGACAGCCCCTTGATCTTTCCTGGAGACCACCCCTGCAGCTGGACGCGGAACTGGACAGACAGTGACCCGGTCTAGCACCTCTAGAGAGACTTGCAGTGTGGCGAACGCGAGGACAGCGCTGCCACATCTAGACTCTTTCCTTCCATCCTTAGATCTTACTTTGGTTCGGGTCCCAGCATTTAGGAGCGGGCAGCGGGCAGGGCTAACACGTCTAGAATGCAAGGGTGGGGCGAGGGCTGCAGCTCACCTGTTTGGTTTGAAAACAAAGCTCAAAGGGTCTCGCCTTAAACATTTTTCTTGACTTAAAAGGCAACTCTTGTGTTAATCCTACTGTTTATTGATTTATAAGCCCAAGGAAACCAAATCTTTTAATAACTCAATTATCAGATCAACGTAGCGGCCCTAGCTGCGGCGAAAGCAGGAGGGCGGGGAGCCCCACTGGAAAGGAGATGGGGCGAGGACCACTGCGCGCGGCGTGATGGGGCGCAGGGCACGTCTAGGTGGGCGCCGGGAGGAGGCCGAGGGCAGGAGGGCGCCCTGGCGGCCCAGCCAGCCAGCCCGTTCTCGTTCGGTGGAGGGAATTTCCGTCCCGACCCAGAGGAGGAGGGGAACGCTTCCGATTCCTTGGACCTCGCTAGGCCACGCTTCCGCGGGAGCAGGCGCCCGTGGCCGCGCGGGGCGAAGGGCGCGCTCAGCCGGGGACCCCTCCCCGCCTGCAGCCGCGGGGCGCCGCGCCTTTACCTACTGGAGCGCGGGGCTTTCTCGGTCGCCCGAGCCCTTAGGGTGAGACCGAGAGGGCGAAGGGCCTGCGGCCGGCGGCCCCGCAGTGGCTGATTCTATGTCCTCAATACGCCCGGGCGCGAGCGGCCACCGCTCCCAGGACCTGCACAGTTAGAGCGAGGCGCTTCCATCGCGTCCTCGCAGGTCACACGCGGGGGGCGCGTTGCCCTGCAAGGAAAGGAGACGACGGTATTCAGTGTGCTTCCTCCTGGCCCTGTGCAATCCGAACACATCTAACGCAAGCGTCCAGGCCCTCGGACAAAGGCGCGGGCTTCTCAACTGGGGAGCGATGAGGGGCTACACTTTCCATAACGTCTTGTTTCCGGCCTTTGGGCTCCTCCGAACTCTTCTAGGGCTGCGCCCCGCGAGCCCACAGGCCTGAGGAGGAGCTAAAGGTAGAAGAGGAACTTCCTTTAGGCCTTCCTCCGTACCTGAAACCAGCTCTCTAACTACCACTTTCCCTAGCATAACTCTCTGCAGGTTCCGAAAACCCAACTCTCCCCTTCGCCCCAGGGCAGAGGGGGGCGGGGAGAAAGGTGGGAGACCAGGTGATGTAAATTGGTCCTGTGGATACATTCTGAGGAACAACATCCGGATCATCAGCAAGGGATGTTGCAGAGGTCCTGCATACTTTGTTTAAAAGAGGTGCTTTTTACCTACACTAAATTTAGAAGCCTGTCTCACCCACCACTCCCCCAGGGGATTTCTCGCTGCTCCTGGGAACCTCTGACAATGGAATCCAGATTTTATTTCATGATAACACGAAGATGGAGCCCCAGAAAGATCTGGGCTGCCAGAAGTGAGAAATATTAGATGCATGGAACTTTATCTACTGGGAATAGTCCCAGTGGTAAAATTCAAAGCTGAACGCATTGCCTTTCCCTATGCATTATTTTACCATTCTATGCCAAAACAAGTGCGCGTGTGGGCGGGGAAAGTGCCTCGTTCACAAAGCATCTTCTATGAAAGCAATTGTTGCAGAAACGGCAGAGTTTCTGTCACCCTCTTGCCCACCTCACTAGAAAAGCTGCCCCCCATTAAAACAGTAATCAACAAAGAGCCTGGGGAAATGGAATCTATTTTAAGTGAGGGCAATACTGTTAGAATACAGAGTTCCAAGAACTCCTACCCTTTTCTCCTAAAATTCACTCTTCAAGGTCCTCCCCAGCCCCTGGAACTCTGTTGTGGAGGATGTTAGCAAGTAGACTCAAAACTGCTTCCATCATATTGGCCACTGCCTATATTATTCCCTTTGAGCTTCTTTAAAGAAGTGCACCTGCAGAATTCTGACACGCAAGCTTTGATTTAAAAAGGATTGGATTTTTTCTTTTCTCAGTACCTTATAGATTGTGTAGAAAGCCCAAGTCCTCTTTGAAGAAGCTCATAAACCATGCGGGCAGAGCTTTGGAAAACAGAAGAGAATGAAATGGTACATACCCCTCCGAAGGGATTACATACTAATCAATGTATTCATACTGTTTTGTTTTGTTTCGTTTTTTTACTATAGTTCTTAGAATCGGTAGGTGACACAAATATTATAACAAATGCAAGATTCTTTGTATGCAGGTGCTGGCAAGGCTGGTAACTAGTAACATTTCTGAAAGGAATGGATGATGAGTCTGAATCAGTTTACTGGTCCGGATTTTCCGCAGCCAAGGGAACCTCTGCCCCTGGCACCCAAAATTTCAGCCCCCGCCCGCTCGGCAGCCCCTCCCTACTTTGCAAACCACCGGGGAACTGGGCACGGTGAGTTAGGAACACAGGCTGGGCCGGGGAGCAAAGGGACTGGAACCACGCCAAAGAGCTAAGCATACTTATTTGCATCCCGAAGATTCCCAGAACCGTATCAGGAAGGAGGGCAACTGTAGAATAGGGTGGCTGGGAGAGGGGCCAGGTGAATGGAGGGCAGGGACTGCGAAAGAGTTTCCTAAAAAAATATTAAAAATTAAAAAGTTCGTGCGTCTCAGTCAACCAGCTCTCAAAGCACTGACAACAAACGTTTCTCCGATTTTCTTCCAATAAGTTAGCGTTTTCTCATGTTTAGTCTTATGTTTGTTTTCCAAAGGGGGAAATCATAGTTTTCTTTTATTATCAGTATTACTAAGCTCGAAAGAACCGAAGTGGAAAATCCGGACGGTGGTCTCCAAGTGTAATCTTGAAATAGACACTGAGAACCGATACTGTTGCTCCGCTGTATGCCTCAGGATTTTTTTTTTTTAAGAAGTTACTTAGCTTTCTTTTGTTAAAATTTTGATTGTATGTGTATGCTACCTAATATAATTCTTCCAAAGCCAATCCAATATTTTAAAGCTAAAATTAATTTTTTTTGTTTTCCTTTTGTATTTAAAACATATCTCCTTCTTTTTTTAAACTCTTTTTTTTTTTTTTTTTTTTTTCATTTCCTGTGTTTCTCCTCCTTGTCGCCAGTTTTACTACCTGGGCCTTCCCCAGACGTGTGCCTGTTAGAGCTGCTGTTGTTCAAGAACATCTTGTCCATGCCCTTGAGCGCCTCGGTGAGATAGTTCTGCAGGGCCGTGAGCGCCGCGCAAATGGCCGGGGCGCCGAAGCCGTGCGTGATGAGGCTGAAGTGAGTGAGACAGCTCTGGATCCCCGGCTCCAGGATGGGGCTGGGCCGGCTGTTCCCGATGGGCGTCCGGTCCTGAGCCAGCAGATCCGTAAACTCTTTGCAAAGTTGCCTGCAGTGAGGTGGGGGAAGAAGAGAAGATCACTGAGTGTCGCTGTCATTGGCATTAGAAAGGAGCCGCTGAAACAAGCCCAGAGGCGCGCGGTCTCCGGAGAGGGAGGCTACCCTGGGTGATTCTGCTCCGCTTCCTTTCCTCGCCGCCTCCCTGGGGGAGCAGCTGGGACTGGAAGGAAAGTGGGGGTGGGGTAGAAGGTGCCCCTTCCAACCCCGAGCTTTGCCATTTTAATGTTTTGGGGTTTTTTCTCCTGTCGGTCCCTCCATTCCTGAATGGCTGGGTTCTGCTTTGGGAAATTAACTGGGCTTTCGCTTTTGATTTTGAATATTCTGTCACTGTGAGCCCTAACCTGGCATTCCTTTAAGTCTTTTTCCCCTCCTCGCTCCTGCCTCTCCCACCTCTTGGTGTTCAGATACAAAAAGCCCTGAAAGACTTAGGCCCCAGGCCACAAGCCTGTCCCTGGCACTGCAGCAGATTGCTGGAGCCTTACATGGCCCAGGGGAAGAAACTGCTTATTCTAGGACAGAATGCTGATCCCATTCAAAGCAAAAACCTGTTTACCTGCTGTATGTGGAGAGAGAAGGATTTTCTTCTTTCTCTAAAAACAAAAAAATGTTCCACTTTCCATTTTGCAAGTGTGGGCTAATAAAAATTTTCGGATAACAGGATTCTTGTCAATATGAACAGATTCCCACATAGTTGAAATAAAATCTAAAGGTAAACTGTGAAGACACTGGGGAGGCTAGCTTTGTATTTGCTGAAGGTTTTTATGTCTTCAAGGCACCTACAATTTAGACAGATCCAGCCTTAGAAATTCTGCATGCCTAACTCTGGATTGAGCTTATTTGACAAATTTTTAATATAAGAAGCGGATGGAGGGCTTCAGCCCTGAAGGTCAAATGGCTTGGTTCTGCGGGCCAGCAGAGACATAGCGCCCCAAAGGCCACAGCTTGTCACAGACTGCCAGACTTCTGTCTGCTGGCCTCCACCTGGCCTGTGGATCAGAGGAGTCTAAGAGAAGCACACCTAAGGCAGCCTAGTTCTGCGTGGACCCCCATGGGACAGCCTGAGAGACCGGGCAACTCCTGGTCTGGCCAACAGGTGAGCAGAGCAGGTTACTGCATGTGAAGGACCCTGGGGTACCCTTTCCCCAGGTGGGGCCACCTGTCTGACTGAACCAAGTGGGGAACGCCTCCTCCCTTAGCCCTGTGCAGCAGCCACAGGACCGCTGATTTTAAAACCGGTGGGTGGGTAGAGGACATTAACAGGTACTCTCTTGCTACCCTGTCATGCCTCCATTCAGAATTTCCCAAGCAACTGTTCTGACCTCACTGGGTCAGTTTTCAGCAGGAGATACCTCAGAACCCATATGGGGGTGCAGATACACACTCCCAAATCCCTGTCCCCCATCAGTTCCTATTCAGAGGGGTAGGGAAGAGGTCTGTGCCTAAGTATCTTCAGAAAGCTCCCTAGATGATTCTGATACTTCCAAGTAGGAAAGTACTGGCTTAAGAAAAACAAGACTGCAAGAGGCAGTTAGTCAGGAGTACCCCTTAGGGAGCTACAGAGGTGTTCGCAGAATCCTATCATCTGACTTACACACTTTGGTTTTATTTTTATTCTCCCATAAAGAACCCTTCCTCTGTTATAAAGCACAACAGGTCTGTCAACCCCAGACACCAAGACGGCTGAGAGAGCGAGCTACTGACAAAGATCTATTGTATAACTAGATGTACATCGGAGGGAAGCCTTGAAAGAGGGTGGATGCCAGGTTTGGATCATTGGGAGAGATGGTTAAAATCTTCCCTTAAGTTTGTACTTATTACTTAAGTGCCAAAAAAGGAAATTCTGCAGTGAGGAGAACAAATGCTTAAGAGTCAAACATTTTAAATCTTCAAAGCTCAAACCAGGGTCTGTAAGCAATTAAAGTTCTGGGACATTAATATTTTTTGACCCTGCGGAAAGGGGCAATCAAATTCCAATCACGTCTCAAAAACATCTGGACAAATTTGAGCAAATGATTTTTCAGCCTTCCATATATTTCTTTAAATTACGCTGTCAACCGAACAAACCGCGTCCTGGAGCACTAAATAAATGAGCGCCGCTGTTTAGGCCGCGCCTGCGAGAGAGAATCGTGCGGGCGCACGCAGCGCCGCCCACTGCAGGCCTGAGTCGGCCATAAAACACCAACAATATGACACCGAAGCCAAAGACAGGAGTAAATCAAATAAATAGAAAACCCACTGTAAAAGTTCAAATGAGCTCTAGACCTAAATTTAGCCAGAGATTTACTATTTTCCCCTCTGGAGTTGCAGTAAATTTTACAAGTCTGCGGAAGATGACAAACAGCAACGTTGCAAGCGGAGTAATTAGAGCTGCGGGTAGAGATGGTACAGGTGGGTGACATAGAGACACCCTGGGCAAGCACGCGTGGAGATGGCAGGGAGACAGATGTGAAACCCAGGCAGCAATAGACACCTTCCAGGCAGGTCCTTTTTTCCAGGCCAGGCCTGGAAAAGGTCTGCCTGACTTCCCTGGGATTGTAGCAAAGAGCTCTAAAAAGCTTACGTTCCGATTCATCAAGCCAGAGGTGGAAAGAGAGAAGAGGACTTAGACAAGCCCACAGCCCATCAACACTGCCCATCCTGGAGGGCGCCAGGGTGACTTCCTAGCCCTGGCTGCACTGCCTGCCGTGCTACATCTGAACCACAAAAGGGAGCACCTCTCTTTCCCACAGAGGATTCAGCATTGCTGGCCCTCACTCCCTTCTCCCAAACGGGTGGCCCAGCAGAATGGGAGCCAGGGATAGGGGCCCAGGGCCTGAGATACTCACTTGGTTGCCAGCAACATATTCTTTCGGGAGTGCAGGTCACTGGGATCCGTGTGCTGCCGGTTCAAATACTCAGAGACAGCTTTTGCGGGAAACTCTGTTTCACAAATGTACCCAAAATCTCGAGCTAAGTGGACAGCCTCTCCTGAAAAACAAAGCAGCAGAGAATTAGCACCCAGCCCTTGGTGCTAATTAGCACCCCACACCCTGGCAACTCTACTAGGATTTCCAGCAGAACCAGGTGTTTTGGGTAAATGCAAACAGGAGACAGATACTCAGAGGAAGGAAGACTGAATCTGTAATTAAAGTTGTGGGGAAAACTTGACTTCTGTTGCTCTTTCCAGCCTCTCTTTGGGCCAAGTCCTACCTAGACATCTCCTGAATAGCTATGGGATCTCCTACAATGGGAAAGGTAGGCCAATAGATTCAAGAGCCCATTTACAGCTGAACCTAGACCCGTGGCAAGCCAGATCCCATCTTCTTTTTAAAGCAAGGGTTAAAGCTGCTTTAAATAAAATCTAAAAGTCACCATCATCTCCCTATAATTGTATTAGGAACAATCTCTTATTAGTAACTAATACATATAAGCAAATCCATGTTTATAAATGTCCACAGATATATAAAAATATGCAAAGTTTGTATGCGAGGAGCATTTCTATTCAGCAATGAGAATTGTTCTTGTCACTTTTCCTATTAGCCAGCTTTCAGGTGTCTCCCTCAGAGGTTTCTGTCATCAACCTCCTACTTAAAGACTTTCTACTGCACAAAGATACAGGTTCAGAAAAATGAGGCATGGAAGGTATTCCAGAGCTTATGAGAAGCCCCTTTCAAATAAAGCATTATTACCCGTTAAAGCACAGCCTTAGGGGTTTGAGGAAAGATCACAAACATGAGAAAGAGATACGCTGAGTTATCCCATAGCTACATTATTTTTAAGAAGCAAGACTTACTTTTAATCATCATTATCATAATAACAACAAAAGACTTCAGGCATGGTGTTTGTAACGATTCACAGAGCTGAAAATGCCAACCAAATATTGGAATTTCATTGGGAATCTCAGTTTCCTCCCATCTCCACCACAATCCTTGTCTTGGGCTAAGATTACCTTGACTATTTTTCAGAGTGAGGGTTGTGACATTAGCAATTCCCTGAAGGCCAAAATGTGAAACCCCCAGGCTCAAAACCAACTGCTAATAAGTGCGGTCTGAACATTTGGAGGCTGCTGCTTCTGGACAGTAAGTCTGGGCCCAGCAACTTTGCCTTAAGATGTCAAAGTGCAAGCAAAGTCTATGCCTGTGATGACGTAGTTGCTGCTTAAATATTCCAAAACTCCTTCCTCCAAAAATCAAATCCCTACAGGAGTATCATAATGTCATATCTATTTAAAAAATGGGAGGAAAAAGCAGGACGGACAGATTAGACTCTAGAGAAAATTCTTTATCTTCCTCCATTGGGACCAATGGAGGCTGTACTTTCTTGTCCCATTCCACAAATTGAACTGCAGATATTCTTGTACCCAACTATGTAGATGGCCTTGTTTATGACATGACATAAATATTATTCCCTAGCCCAAACTGATACGCAAGTTAGGTGATTGTTACAATTATGACCATTTGATCTGCAACTGATGGATCTACATTGAAGATCATGCCTGACTCCCCTCCACGTTTTCTGATCACTCCCAATTTTTTCTTCTGCTCCGCTGGCCTTACTAAACTACAGATATTTCAGAAAGTCCCAGGTAATCAGCAAGAGATAGGGTGGTGGGAGTGACATGAGTTTTAAAATGACCATTAGGGGTCACGAATGCAATGTGTTTTACAGTAGCAACATTTCAGAGGTAAAACCTAGGGAAGGAAAGGGGTACGGAGGGCTGCTTATAGACTGTTTTTGCAAGAGCTCATACAGTGGGAGTTTCAGATGCTGTGTGGCAACAGAGGTGACCTCTGCCTGACTTGGAGATCCCACCTGATCGTGCTCCAGAGTGTGGGGACCTCATTGTGCGCCCCTTGGCCTTCTCTGCAACCACTGGCTCCCTCTAAGTAAAAGGAACTTTGAATTGTGCTCCAGCAGCCGCTTGACATCAACTCATAAGGGCACAACAATCGCAATGATTTCCAGTTAATCATGAAACATGGAAAATGTCAGCCTCCAGCCGACAGTTAAGCTCAGCCGCACGTCTTGCTTACCTTCCACCAGGGAGGTGAGTAACGTGACGTTTGCTGCTTTGCGCCTGCCCGCGGGTAAATTCAAACCGATTTTTTCTAGCCTCTCTCGTAAAGATCTCCCCCCATTTTTCGATTTGGCTCTGAAATTGCAAGAATTAACATTCTGATTAACCTCGGAGTGTTCCTCAAACAAAGTTTAGACTTAGCAATCTAAAGCCCAGTGGAGCTTGAAGAGGTTTTAACTTGAGGTTAGCACTTTTCCCCTTCGTTTTGGTGATTTGCTGATAGTTTGCTGAGGTTTGCTTAATTTCTGCAATACAGCACATTAAAAAATTGAGCTCCTTTGTTTTTTTTGTTTTTTTTTTTATCTTGTGAGAAAAAATCGTACCAGATGGAAATAATTAAGATGTAGGTTGGGAGTCCAGAGAAGGTAAGAATCGCGCGAGCACGTGCTTGCGTGCGCGCACACATACCCACTCCTGGGTAACTTCCCTGTCAAGGAGCTAGTCAGCGGCGCAGAAACCCAGCATGAGAACTTTGCTGAAAAGGAGGGCCCCCCTTTTGGCTCGGGAAGAATAAGGCACTTTGGGAAACAGGTGGTCTTTTACAGGAAAAGGTCAAGAGTTGCTGTGTATAATACGGTTGTTTTAGGAGAAGAGGAAAGATTAAACTATGTAACTAATGACGACCATCATCATAACTACAGCGAACAAGTTTGTGAGTGTCCTTATAAGGCAAGCATTTTCTAGTGGTTATCGCGTCTGATCACGCAAGTTTTATACACACATGCTCAGCGAGTGACCGAGAATTTCTTCACTCCCAAGTGCAAATAACTCACTTGAAAACTGAAACAAAATCAGGCAGAACAAATGTATTTAAAATAAGAAGGTTCCTAGGTCACGCCCACACCCTTAATTTCTGCCCCCAGGCTCTCCCCGTACGTGCTACAAGGAAATGCCGCCACCTCTCTTGCTACCCTCCTTACACAGCCGCTTTTAAGAAAGAAAGGGACTTTCTTTCGACCTCTAAAATGGGATAACTTGAAAAGTTTTGCCTCAGCGACAGTGCTAAAGGATTCAGGGGTGGGCAGCGACTTTTGGGGAGATTTTAAATCTTAAAAGCCACCTCTTCCTCCATTTCCCTAAGGAAGGGTCAGGGTGTGGGTTGGAATATTGGGGCGTACTTAGACGGCTCCAAATAATCACGTTATTTCTTGACTGGTGCAATTGTTACTGGTGGTGGTGTTCGTGAAAGGTTATGAAAATCTCGGAAACCTTTTCACTGTGAAGCACAGTGCAGCCCTGGGTCCTGAGACCAACTCAGCTATCGCCACCTGCATTTTAAAATATATAATAAGCTACAGAAACATCAGAAATTACATGGAAAGCACGAAATGAGTTGCTCTGTGGAACTTGTTTTAGATGACTGTGTGTATGTAGGTCCGGGGTTGCACCCTTGGAAGTGCCTGGGTATGCAAGAAAGCCGGGCGCCAGGCGGAAAACAGCCAAGTTAAAGGTTCCCAGGCCGAGCTGAGCCAGCGTCGCGCTGCGTCACCAGGCGTGGTCGAGCGCTGTCTCTGCGCGAGGCTCTGAGTACGCGCTTCCAGTTGCTAGGCAACTGCGTGGAATTTGCAACCCTTTGGGTCTAACTTTTTTCACCCAAAGCCCCAATACAGAGTCATTTGAGAGTCCTTACCTTCTGAGGACGCCGCCAAGGAGAGATGCATTGAGGCATTCCGGGGGCGATAGCCGTCTCTGAACTTCCCCCACGGTTACTTTATACTTTGAGGTTGAACTGAGCAAGGACAAACGGCCGGGAACCGAGCAAAACACCTCCCCGGTGTTGACCGACATGCCTCCCAAGAAGCCATCTTTATTCATCATCAGAGAAGTCACAGATTTGGGAGGAACCGGAACTACAGAGAGAGAAAGAAAAAAAAAAAAAGTGCCATAAAGGTGACCGGGTTTCAATGCTGGTGACCAGCTGAGAGAATGTGTCAATGCATGACTGCTGAGCAGACGCCAGCTGGAAACCTGGGGGAGGAAGTGCGTGTTCCAGTGGGGCCGTGGTGCACTCACAGCGCTGTAAACAAAGAGACAGAAGAGCCATCGCCCCTCTGGAAACTTACTGTGGGTGTGTCGGTGGACACCTGAGTGTCTCTGGCCGTACCCTGATCACCACAAAAGGCAAAAAGCAGCAAGAGCAACGCACACTCAGCGCCGGAGCTTGGGTTGTGGTACAAAACCAAGCACATGCTATGCTCTTATGTGCTGGCTGTGCGACCTGAGACACCTCACTGAACTCTGAATCTCAGCTTCCTCATCTGTCACTGGATGATAATAATGCCATTTTGTGCGGGAGTCAAAGGGTGATTCTCACCATTTCCTTATACAAAAATGGCAAATAATCAATGGTCATTGAGAAAACTCCTTCCTGATCTCTTATTGGACCCAAATCTATGATCCGGAAGAGGGCCAGGGGGTGGGGCTCATCAGATGCCATGTTACAGACAAGGAACGCCTAGGCAGTTGGACCCAAAAAAGCTGTTTATCTCTTTAAAGAGAGGTGAATTCTTTCCTATGTAACAGCAAGAGCAGGCTAATTTAGAAATGGACTCAAATGCTCATCTCCAGTGAAAACAATTCCGCAGTGACATGAATTCTGTTTACAAATTAAAGCACCGGCTGGCAATTGTTAGGAGCACTTATGATTTACAACAGGTGCCCTGATCAATCAGCCAATCACTCTAATTCACGTGAGCAGCAGTCTTGCCTTGCCCCAGTTGTTTCATTTCGGCGAGTAATTGATAACAAACCGCACTCCAGGTATGTTTTATGCAGAAGTTAATAAGAGCTGACAGCTGGTTGCCACTGCTACCCTGGTACACTCAGCCTTTCCAGCCCGTATTTCTGTTTAATTGTGTTTCAGTGTCATCTGCACGTCAGGAAGAGGCTGAGCTCAGTGGTACAAGAAGGCTGCCAGGGGAACAGTGAATAACCAACCTTCCAGGTCCCTGGCAGTCTTGCTCTTAGATTTCTAAACTTCTCCAGCTCATATTCCTTTAGTAGGCTCAGAAGCCACTGAATAGGTAGCTGCTGATTTCCCTTTACTCCCACCAGGGTAGTGTTGGGCCCCTAAACTAGCTTCTTCCCTGGGGATTTGAGGCTGCATGACTTACAGCTATATGTTCACTACTTCAGGAAATTTACAGGAGCATGTATCTGCTGTGGAAAAAGAAATTTGCATCCCTCGCTTTTGAATAAAGACTGTCTCACCTTTTAACCCCGATACCAAATGATAGCCTCCTTCTACCATCTGGGATCTAGACTTCCATGTCAAACAAGATGGATAACCTCCCTTGTATGGATTTTTGGAACGGTTTATTCTCTCTGTCATAAATTCCAACATTCGCACCTCTGTGATTGTTCAGAGGCTTCTACAAGCCAGATAGGTGCGCACATTTTTATTTACCATGAATTGCATTTGGTTCTTTACCAACACCTTGTGGAAAAGAGCTTTTCCTAGGTGGGGGCAGTAATGGATTCCCTTTTTACTATTTCTTGGTATATATGTTGGAGTTCATCATGCCCAAAACTTCGTCCCAGTTGGATGTATAATGTCAGAGGTAACAGGATGAATCTTCTGAGCTAAGTTTGGCGGGAGGTCAGCAGAGGCTTGCTGTGAGATTCCCTTCATCGTCTCATTAGTGAAGCTGCTTCCCAAATGAGAACCAAGCAATGAGAACGTGAAGTTCTTAATCAGATTTGTGCAAAGTCTGTAAAGTCATTTGAAAAGGTGAGTAGAGGAGGACCACACTGTCATTTAACTTGTATACAAAGTATCCCATTTATTTTGATTCATCATATTTTTCGCAGCATCTCTTATTCCATATTTCAAATTCATATTCAAAGCCTATAGACAAATAACTTATAGCAGTGAGACTGGCATTAGGTACACTTGGGAGAAAAATTTCCCCGAAATATACATGGCCCTTTTTAGTTTTAACGTGATGAGAACTACAGAAATAAATTGTAGAAAAATCTCATTGTACTACTCAGCAATATTTTTATCTTTAAATTTACTTGAACTTTTTTAGCAACAACAAAGTCTCCACTAAGCTGAAAATATTAAGCTCAGTTCCTGCTTCCCAGATTGGATAACCAACTGTTGGAATTTTACCTGTTTCTCAGGTCCCACATGCCAGATCTCTTGAAAAGCTAGGCCTTTAGAGACATTTTATAACCTACCCTCTAATTTCACTATTGTTAATTGCCTGATTTACCTGACAAGAGCTGTTTCCTTTGGGGAATGTATACTGCTCCAACCCCTGGGCTGTACTTCTCTGCATATACATTATCACCTAAATGCCCCCAATCAACCAGTTCCTATCAGCACACTGTGTCATGGGGGAGGTATTTCCCCCTCCAAATCACAGACAATACAGGCAAGTGTGATTCAGATCATATTTCCATTTTCTAATTTAAGTAACAAAATCATGCCTTCACACTCTATGTTATATCCTCGGGTTCTAAATCTCTCTCCTACCTGGCTTAGGAGTGGTCCCCTAGATGACACATTACACATTTCTTGTCCCAGCTTTTGTGTAGGTCCATAGCTCTGTGACTATCTACCTTCCCCTACACTCTCACACCTGCTTAGCTCCGCTGATTAGCCTTGTATTTTATTCTCTTTGTCTTTTCCCTTCTGCTTTCTTCCAGCTTATCAATAAACCCAGAGAGAGCAACAGGGCCCGGTTGATTTGTTAGTAATTATAAGCACACTGTCCCTGCTCACAGAACCCAGAGATGACTGAGATAGGTTTAAAGCGACAGCAGGAAATGGCAAGGAAATGGAGCATAGCAAAACCCAGCACGAAGCTTTCTGTTCTTTACATGTTTACAATTTTCTGTGCATATATTAAAGGTGGATTTCCCCTCTCTGATTCTCAGTCGGAGGGCACCGCCATCCTCTGGATGCTACACCTACAAAACTCACTAACCTCTCTTTTTCACTGCATTATGCCAGTAAGAAGAAAAAAGCAAGTTTAAAAACACATCACTATTTCTTCACAGTGAGTGGAGTTCTGAGGGAGAAAAATGATTAGAGAATATTCTTCACTGGCGGACAATATAGAGCTAAAGTGTTAACAGAATAGCTTTTAGTCTCTACTTGTTACCTTAATGGCAACATCTGCTGGTAGAAAGAAATAAACCTATCTTTCACAATCCTATGATAAGGCCCTCTGATGGTGCAGTCTTTCTGGAAGGGATTGTGACTTAGACATGTGAACTGAATAAGGTTTAACACTGATGTAGACTGACCACTAAAACTGAAGTCATGACTTGTTACCAGCAAAGGACCCTTTCCTCGTATTTACATCACTTCTTATCTCCCCAGGGCTAAATTTTATTCTACATGTATGGTAAATGCATAAATGTGAGTACTGACATTGTGGAAAGAAAAAGAAAAGAATTCCCACAAAGAAGGGCATAATATAAAAAATTACAAATGAGCAGTGTTATCCCTTAAGGACAGAGTTGAGGAAACTGAAAGTTGAGATGCCTCTCATCACTTGGCGTGTGGGACCTTAACGAATCACTTATCATTTCCCTGTCTCCACAGTTGGAGGGTTTCCGCACTTGGGAAGCTGCAGCACAGTCTGTAACCTTTCTGGTTTTAGAATTCTGTGAACTCTGATGATTTCCTGGACAGATGGATTGTATATCAGGGTCTCTAGCTGATAAGTAGCTACTGACATCCAAGTCAGCTCTGGAAATGCAAACCTCTTCCTTTGAGGGGAAACCCAAACCTTTATGGGGCTCAGGGAGACCCTGATACTTCTTACCTTCTGTGCCAGAAAGACAAATCCCAAAGGAACCCACTGGAATTGAAATTTGGAAATTTCTTTCTCCATGTTTCCCAAGAAAATCCAAATCAACCAAAGTGTTTATGTGGGGAACAGGCCAGAACTGATGGCAGAAAAGTGGGAGAGAACTGAGGTTGAGCTGAAACTAACCAAACAGGATATCCCTAAGACCAATAAAAATGCCCCACAGTCACAACATTTGAACCTTGGACTCCAGCCACACTAGCCTTTCCAAGAAATCCCAGCATATTTTCTGCTGTCTAAAGTGTCAAATCGACTGCATACTGGCCTCTGATTGCTTCAAAAACTTTTTATTAAGGCCTAGGTAAGCCTTTTTTCAGTTAGGCTATATGGTGCTGGTGATGATCATTTATATCAGCTGGGCACTCCCTCCCAGATTCCTAATCTTAATGGAACTGAGAGTTAAGAATGATTTTTTAATGTCTTGTTGGATTTTTAGACTGTTAATGTACCGAATCCTTCTCATTATTACTTTATTGATTGCTCATTGACCAGCCCCCTTCAAATCGTATTAACCACCCTCTGCCGGTTTAGATTAGGAGAATTTAAAAAGCACCTTTCATTACTCCCCCCACACACACTCCTGCCATGGAGTTGAGAGTAGGCAGCTTAATGGGAGCTCTAATGGGGCAGCTAAGAAGGGAAGGGCCACGGTCCCTGCCGATTGCATTAATAGCTCAAAGGGGGCCAATACAGAAAATTAGCCGTAAACGAGCTCTGGAGATCTTCAAATGAAAGAGCCATTTATCACGCTGGCTACCTTCACTCCACTCGTTTGCTCTCTCTACTGGGAACAACTCATTTCCTCTTAACTAAATTACTTCAGAAATGTCAGCTAAGCCCAGATAGCAAACATAACATGAGAAGGAGCCTGTAATCTATGGGGTGATATCAACACGGGTGAAAAATTAGACTCAGTGAATTTGAGGAGGGGCCTTGCCATGATGAGAAAGAGAGAGAGACCGAGAGGAGGAGGAGGAAGAGGAGGGAGAGAGAGAAAGAGAGAGACAGAGAGTCAGAGTCTTTATGCCCAGGTCTCCAAGTCTTCTGGCTTCATAAACATAGAAGCAGAGAGAGACATTCAAACCTTGACCACTTGCTGGCCTTTTATTAATGAGGCAGAATTTTTAAAAACTCTGTCTCAAAGCCCATTAGAAAATAAATTAAGCAACTAAATCCCCTGCCAGTTGTTGAAATTTAGAATATCCAGAAAACATTCTCACCTCTTTTACAAAATTAATTTCATAGAGATATCTCTTGTGGGGAGGGGCGTGGGCAAAGATGGGAGACCAGGGTGTAAGGAAGAGGCAAATGAACCCATAGCTTTATTTTAAGTGGTTCGTGGTGAGTTAGAAAGAATAAATCAAGCACTTCTTCTCATTTTTGCCTAAGGCTCTTTAAAGATAAAAATATATTAGGACCTTTTCTTCATGTAATAACGCAAATATCTCAAATATCAAATAATGGAATTGACCTAACATTCGTATTCATCCCATGTCCCCTGAATCAATTAAAGTGACAAGGGTGCTACTTAGATATTTTAAGCTATATACCTTTCTGAAAAGGTTTCAGGAACATGAAAAGTACTCTAGCACTTCCAAAAACAGAAATTGCAGTTTTATTCATTATTCTCCATGTTTTTATTCCCACAGATAACCTTATACATACATATCCACCTTTTTGCTAACAGACATACGCAAGTCCTGCAACCAAAGTACCCCACATCTAAGAATATATCCAGCTGCATTTTGCTGGGCAGGCTAAGTTTCAAATATTTTACTGGCCTGACTATTAATAACATTTCTGATTGGTCATCTGATGGGCATGTCCCACTGCCAGCCCCAAATGCTGTTGCTAGGATACAAGCCCTGAGCTAAGGGGTTGGAGCTTTCCGTTGAAAGGAGAGAGAACTAGAACAAAACAAAACAAGAAAGCAGCGGAGAAGCTCCTCCCTCACCTCACTCCAATCCGCCAGCAATTAACCAAAAGAGAAGACTCAAGAGGAAAGAGTGAAAGTGATGTCAGCACAGTTCCAAGGTTCAGCACGTGAGTGCCTTAGCAAACCCAAAAGTTGGGACTGAAAATCTGAGAAGATGCTCTCTAAACATGAGAGGAAGAGGTGTTGGGAGCAATGTTTAAAATAAACAATTTTCTGCGAACCTCACGATTTTTCAGTACATTCATTCTGAAGCCAAACTCTGTCACCTCAAGTACTGCTCACCCTGCCCACCTCTCAAAGCTACTCCTCAGGCCTTCATAAAAGGAGAAAAGTTAAAATACCCCACCCTTTCTGCAATTCTAGAATCCTTGTGTTCCAGTTTGAATCTGGATGGACTGCTGTCCAAAGCACCTTTTTCTTTTAATTATTTTTGTCACTGTCAAGCGGCTCGAGTGAATCATAAATGACTGAAGCTGGGGATTGTTGACACCAGACACAGGGACAGGCTTTCTCTAGCATCCAGAAGAAAGGGCTACAGTAGTCAGAATTGTGTTTTCAAACACCAGTTCCTGGGATAATTAAATATTGCAGTGTTTACACATTCAGGCCCCTAAATTTGTGGCATGTGAGTGACATTCAGGTCTTTTGGCAGCCGCACTAATCGCCAGGCATTCTCTCAGTGACTGTCAGAGAAGAAGAGAAAAAAATTAAGCAGCTGCAATATGCCTGAAATGAGTTATTGTAATTACATTTAATTAGTTTAATTAGTTAATTATTTTGCTTACAGCTGTACAAGAGACTGCAAACATTTGTTAATATCACATGCCCTTTAACAGTATGGGGTGATTCCACAGTCACACTAAATCACGAGCGCGTATGTAGAAAGATTTAGATCTGCGCATAGGCTGTCTCAGCTTCTCAGGACGCCCACATTTAGCACCACATTTGCCTCAATTACAAATAATAATAAAAAGAAACAACTCACAAACATAGACCTGGAAGCAAAATTACTCCCAAAAAATCAAAACAAAACAAGGAAAAAAGAAGCTGTCCCAACGACATTCTTTAGCTCAGTATAGTTCAGTGATCAATGAAATAATTGTGGCACATTTTTAAAACCCGTGTTTCCCAGCCAATTCCACACATAATGATAGTTCATTTAAGATGCATCGAGAATGGCTACCAGATGTATGATAGGGAAAATGGCATTTGTTTCTGTCCTTCCGATTCTCTCCTCTGGGTTTATGACTGTAGGTTTTCACTCCCTGTCACCTATTTCCTTGTTCCTGAAATTCCCTTTTACCTTAGGCTGACAGTCATTGAGCTAGGGTTGTAAACAAACATTTATAATATCAAATTCCCCCAAAGTGAAAGCTCATCATAAAGACATTAAAGCACAGAACAACTTTGCTTACTTTTGAGAGGAAAAATCCGTACCTTTTTTAATGACAGACTGGTCCAATAGATTCATGCCGCTGTTATTGGCATCTTCAACTGACTGTGAATATAAAAACATCACTATTCAAATTGACTGGATATTAAAGAATTGCACACATAAATCATGTCATCCTATACTGGAGTTTCTGTTATTTCCATTTATATTAATTCACAAGGAGAGGTTTTATTATTATCATTATTACCTTCCAATCGACATAGAAATGAAATTCACCCAAATTATAAATTCTTCCAATGGAAGAAGAGGGAAAAGGAAACTATGCTAGACATCTGGGATTCAATATTGGTCAATTATTATAGAGAACATCAATATCACATAGACATATAAGCTTTTATATTATTTGCTTTTATGAATTGTGAAAGTTTGGCAGCAGCTGAAAGATTTTCACCAATATTACTTAAGAGCAATTTTTGTTTTCCATTCTATCCCGGTCCATCTTAACCCCAGAGCCATTTCACAAATACATAACAGTTTACATTATGGGATTTTAATTAAAGCCTGAGCAATTTGGAATGGAATGCAAACAGCAACACATAGGAACGTTTGCAAGGCTGCAGGACCGCGCACCCTCTGCAGTCTGCGCACGTTGCTGGGAGCTCTGAGCTGCGCGCTGTACAGCCGCAATCTACGGAGGAGCTGGAGGAGCTGCAGGAGCTGCAGGAGCTGCAGGAGCTGCAGGAGCTGCCTCGAGGGTCCCCCTCCCAGCTCTGCTGATGCGGCTTCCTTGGAAGGAGCACACCTGTTTGGAAGGCAATGCGTACACACACACACACACACACACACACACACACATACACACATCCTGGATCCTCCCAGTCTGCACCTAGGGCTTCACAGGGAACTGGCGTCTGAGTGCACCTCGTCACCCTGAGAGGGAAAGTTTGAACTCTGAACATCGGCAGCACTTCCCAAGGCAAACAGCTGTAGGGTTTCCTACTGCCCGATGTACTTGACCAGAGTTCTTCGGCTGTGCACCCTGGGGTGTCCCAACGCAGCCTCTTCCGGCCCCTCCACCCCAGTGAAAGTCAACGCTAGGTCTTTCCGCAATGCGCAGGGCTTTGCTGGGCCCTTAGGAGCTTAGGTCTGGAAGGATCTGACACCCTCTCCGAGGAGAAGCACAGGAGACTGGGTTGCAGAGTGCAGGGCCAATCACAGGCCCGCCCACCCCCTTGAGCCGCAGCCCAGATGGCGTGTGCCCACCCCCTCCCGGAACCCCGTGTACCCCAACACGCCGGGCCTGGGAAATGGGCCGATCTCATCACCAGCGAGGGAACGTGCTAGCTTGTTTCTTTTCGTTTCTAAGTCACTCCTCTCCTCTCAGAAAGGTGAGGAAAACTATAACTATCTCTCTCTCTCGGGAGAATCGTTTCCCGTGTACCAACGTGCCGCGCACATCTGAAGAAACAGTAAAAAGCTGTTTCAAAAACATATTTGCTAGAACCGGTGCGCACTCCCCGGGGCGCGCGCCGCGCCCCCTCGCGCTGCCCGGCGCACGCGGCCCGGCCGGCCGCACCTCCCGCACGCGGGCGGCGACGTGTGCACGCCTCATCGGCGACGCGGGGTAGTTGTGGTAGTTAATGAGAAGGCTCTTGTCTGATTTTCTATCTAATTACGGCCGCCTGCTGGGTTTTTGTACAGGATATTCACGCAGCATGCTGGCGCTTAATCGTCACAGGGAGGGTCGTAAAGATTTAATTAGGGCTGCATGCGGAAGCCCAGAAAAACAACTCAGACTCGTAATTACTAGACTTCTTTAGTTAAAAGTGATACCGGGGGTTGCTTTAAGACACAAGGGTGTGTTTGAGTGTGAGTGCGTGTGTGTGTGTGTGTGTGTGTGCGCGCGCGTGTGCGCGCGCGCGTTTCGGGGGCTGACTTCGCTGGTTTATAGGTTTACATTCCTGGGTGGTAGAGGGCATGAGAGGTTAGCAGCAGAGATGGGTGGAAGGAGAGGTAGACGCGGCAGCTCAACAAATCCCGAACTAGCTGTCATCGCACTTGCTTGCCCTGCCTTTCTGTAACCCATTTTTCTTATTTTTAAACACTGGCCCTCGCCCACCCCCCCACGCACACACAATGGGGGAAATGTACCATACCAGGAACCCAAACAGTGATTTGCTAGTTTAATAGCCCCTGTGAGTAAATTGAAATAGAAATTGACAGGGTTTTATAGTTTCATTTAAAAAATATTAGAAGCATTTGGTTAATTAGCTCTCCCTCTCTTCTCTCGCGGGGCGGTGGGCCCTGCATGTGTGCCTCGGGGTCGCCCCCAACCCTTGACCCACCAGCCCGGGCAGCGCCTCAGGGGCTGACGGGTCTGTGGCTGGGAGTATTCGGAACACACACCAGACCCTGGAGACTGAACAAGTGCCTTTGAGGTCCAGGCCAAGGCACTCTCCTGTCCCTTTTAATGACTGGGCAGGTGCAGCCAACCGTTTGAACCTTCGCTGCAGGGAATGTCGAACCCCCCAACCAGCTTGTGTAACTTTAGCCCCTACATTCCAGATCCCTAACTTGGGAGTGGATTTTCTGGACAGACAGAGCGGGCGAATCAAAGTCTCTGGAGTTGGGTGTCTGGTCCTACGTACACATTCTCCCCTGTCTTTGTCACTTTCCCTGTGTCCTACCCACCTCACCCTGGCCTCAGGAAGTCTGTCATCGAGAGGGAGACAGGGACCTTACCTGCCCCAGTTCTTTCCTTCCTAGGACAAGCACGGGGTGTATCTCTTGCAGCCCTCTGCACTGAGGCTCTGCTGAGGTCCCACAAGCCTCCCCCTCAACACCAGGCCATGGGCTGAGAAAAAGCTGGAGGAGGAACAGGCAAGGAATTGGGTGGGCAGGAGGTGTGAGGGGGTCATGCCCAGCTACTCTTCTTTTCACCCCTGCTCTCTCCACCTCTGTAGCCTCTGTACCAGATAGCACCAGACAGCAGCACCTCCGCTCTGCTCACTGTCCATACGTGCTGAAACCTTCCTGACACTTTGGTAACAGAAAATCTCCTGACAATTCTGTCATGAGAAAAAAAAAAAAAAAAAAAACCAGCAACAACAAAAACCAGTAACTGAACACAAAGCAATCTGCTCCCTCTTTGGAGGGAAGAATTCCTGAATTCAATTGTCTGAGCCCCTCGCCGGCATACAGGATAGTGGTGACAGGGCCGGGGTTTGCCGCACCAAGAGGAATGGTAATGAGCTGATCCACTTTCATTATCCCACACTTTGAACCATACTCAGAAAGGTTAATTTAAAAACTTTCCCCCTGAGATACATATTATCCCAATGCATTAAGGAAACTATTTAATATTCTCCTTTCTCATATGATATTTTGAAATGAGCAATATCTCCAAACAGGGACAATCTCAGTTGCATCAACAAAACCACCACTCATTACTACGGGTAAATCCAACCACAAATCAGGTGATTCCGCTCTTTTAAAAATAATAAGGAAGAGAACTTCTTTTAAAACAATAAATGAGTCCTAGACCACACACAAACAGCATTTGACTCTGTCACTACACTTTAAATGTTTAAACACATATTTTCTTTTCAGCAAGGTAAAGAAGAATGATTTGTGCATCCCTTTTCCATTTCATTTTTCTTTGCTTCACAAATATGTCTACAACGATGCATAATATATACAACTATGCCAATGAGATCGAAGTGTCAATTAAATACCATTCAGGCATATTTATCATTTTCTGGAAACTATTTAAATTAGAAGGGAAAAGAGACCTGCTCAGAATCACCCAAACAGTTTTTAGGAATCATTTCTTTGATGTTCCTTTGTTTAATTTAACCAACTATTCTCAACCAAATCAGGCTCCATTGTGTAGGGTGCAGATGGGGTAGTGGGTGGATAGGGGGAGTGTTTTGAGCCTTTTGTTTTAAGAAATAAACACGTGATGCCTCTTCAGCTGGGCTGGTGGCAATGGGGACAGCACTGACAGAGGAGGAGTGGAAGGAAGAGCAAAGGTGCATAATATTATGCCACCATCACTCAGTAGAAGGAAAAGTGAAAAGAGTCCCCAAATAGTATCTGTCCTCATGGACTCACACACTGAACTGTGGCCTTCCAGGTCCGTCCCTTACAAAGATTCCATTTTTAGGTAATGACTGTCTCAGGAAGGGCTCTTGGGAGATTGGAACCTTAAGAGCAAGACAAACAAACATAGCTCACGACTTTCTTCCAGCGTGCACAGCCATGCCTGGCAAAATCTTGCAAACCTGGCAGGACCCACTGGAGCACACAGAGGCCCTTGCACCTTGGTGCTAGAGTCCTGGTTTCTAGGCAGCCGGGACTTCACCTGCCAATTCTGTGAGACTAACCCCCGTGTGATGTGCGTGGGTGTACGTGTGTGTGCATGCGTGCGCACGTGGGGGATCAGCACGCTTGTTCACACAAAGTAACAGAGAACAGGAGTAGGGTAGGTGAGGCAGGACAAAAACGCTAGCCTTGATTCTAATGATCGTAAAGTACCAAACATTCCTTATTTTTCTCCTTCGTGAGTTAATCCTACTGCTTCTGGCTTCACAGCTACACTGCCAGAAATCCCCACTGCAGACCCGTAGACGTCCTGTCCCGCTGGTCCCGCTTTCAAAGATGAGAACAACTTCTCTCCAAAGAGGCAGAGCTGCCTTTCCCCACCCTTCCCCTGAGGAATCATTCCTCGGTTATCCTCTTTTGAATGTGGGGTTACCTGGACGTCTTCCATGCCGGGGTGGCCAAGGCCGTGCAAGGAGAGGCTGTCGCCCATGCCTGCGTCCAGGCCGTGGTGCGCCGAATGCAGCAGCACGTCGGGCCGGCGAACCGAGTGGTAGTCCCTCCGGGGGTCGAGGCCTGAGAGCTGGGGCAAGGCTGCCCGAGGCTGGGGAAGCAGGGAGCCGGCGTCCGAGCCCACTTCTTGCCGCTGCCGTTGCCCCCAGGGGTGCTGCTGGGGTTGGTGCAGTGGATTCAGGGAGTAGGGGTCGTTGACGTGGGAGTAGGGGTCTTGGCTCTGGTGGTAGGGGAGCGGCTGGTAGGGGGGTGGGAAGTAGGGCGGCTGGAAGTCCGATGACGGGGTGTGGGACAGCGGCGGGGCGCTCGAGTAGGGTCCTTGGGACACCGAGCCCAGCTGAGAGAGCCTCGAGCTGTGACTCGGGACGCCATCGTGCCGGTCCTGGGAGTGGAGAGAGGAAGAGAAAGGGAGAAAGAGGGAGAAAGATAGAGGAGAGAAGAGAGAGACAGACAGACAGAGAGAGAGAGAGAGAGAGAGAGAGAGAGAGAGAGAGAGAGAGAGAGAGATGGAGAAGCCCGGCTTACTTATTTACTTACACCCTTCCCAGGATGGGGAAAGAGAGTCTAAAACTTAGACCCCAGATTGACCCAGGACTACAAGATTTCAGCATATCCAAATGGAAGGCTTTGGGGAGAAAAAAGGAGGATCACCCACAGAACTGAGCCTTCTTTGGGGAGTACAAAGCAAGCAAAAAGGGGCAAGGGCAAAGGAACTGCGTGTGGACTGGATACCAAACGCCTTAGGAGCTTACGTATAGTGTTGCCCTTCTGCGTGTTTTAGCTCTTTTTCTCTAACTCTCCCAGGGACCCAAAGTACAACAAGTAAAACTTCGCAGGATCTGCTCTGCTGCAACCCCTTGTTAAAAACCAACTGGTGCCCACCTTGGAAGTGCAGCTGACTGATCAGGAGCTCCTTGCCTAACATGATGATCTTAGGAGCTCCAAGAAAGCTGCCTGATTTGAGTTCTCAGTCACCCCTCTCTCCCCAGAAAGAATTAAATCACTTAAACAGTGTGTGATTGAAATGGATCTGATTCGAAATCATATCCTAAGCCCGTGTTAAATTGAGTTGTGGTTTGCAGGAGTTATTTCTAAGCTTGCTTTTCTGTATCAAACGCTATTACACTTAAGTGTGAGAATGAAGGACCTGAGGTTGGGAGGGGGAACCCCCCCAGACAACTTATTGTTGGTCCTCTCTGGAGTGTGACCGAGCGAAAGGAGGAGAAGGGGGAGGTGTGTGCTGGGGGTGCTTTTAGTTTCTCCTCTCCTCCGTGGAAGTGCCATGGTAAAGTCTCCATGGTTCTTTCTGCCGAAATAGTCACCGAAATTTCCAAACTGTAATGACCAGTACAAAGTTTTTCGGTTCAGCCTCCCCCCTCTCCCAGCTGACCCATGGAGCTCAGAGGAAGAACACACAATGCAGAGAAGCAGCTGCAGGCTCGTCCAATTATGGTGCTAAATTACCAAGCCAAAGGCGCTCAAAGAAAGACAGAGAGACAGTGAGACACACACAGAGAGATGCAGAGGCCGAGAGACAGCGAGAAGAGAGGGCATGCAGTTCTGGTACAATGCAAACCCAGACTCACCATGGATGAATAGGTGTGGACTAACATCTGGAAAAAAAAGCCTGGTTACTGCTCAAAATCAAACAATGATTTAAAAAAATCAAGGAGTCCAGCAGAGAAGAGAGCTGGACACAGGGGCTGAGCTTGAGGTGTTTCCAGGACAAGCCATCAAAAAAAAAAAAAAAAAAAATACCCCCCTCCAACAAGCTTGGCGATGCCCGTCACACACAGACAGAACTGTTCATCTATCTCTCGGTGTCTTTTTGGCCTCCTTTCTTCTGGCGTTCTTCGGGGCTCCAGATACACTCCTCTTCCACCCGAAGCTGGGCTCAGACTGCTCGGGCGCCCCTTCCTCCCTCCGCTTGCCTACACCGCCTCATAATAATTGATATTCATGACTATTAATATTACACGAGTACTTTAAAGGGAGAATGGAGGACAAATGGAGCGTGAAACAGCGGCGAGCGCAGAGCTCCCCACTATTGTAAGTGACGTTCATTCAGTGGAGAATTACTAGATGTAATCAGACGAGGGGGCTGGCAGAGGCAGGCTGGGGAGAAAGTTTAGCAGGAAAGAGGCAGAACTTCAATTAACTGAGCCGGGACAAGCGCAAAGCAGCCTCTGCTCGTTGGGCGGACGGGAGAGAGCCGAGCGGGGCTTGCACGGCGTGTAGCTGTCCTCCTGTGTGCGGGGAGACCTTCCCACTGGGAAGAAGGGATTGCCCTGAACGCTTTGTGCGCAGATTACCACACAGAATAAAAAGGCATGGCCTTGTCGTCTGGAGGGGACAGGAGAGTGAATTGGTGGGGCCGGCTGTTTACAGTGACGTGTGCAGACTTCTTGCTGACCGTGGAGGGCTGCGCTCCCGTTTTAAGGGCAGGGAGGAGATGGGGCGCCATGCCCGCGCAGCCTCTCCCGCACGGTGCTTGCAGAATGCGGTTTTCACCTCGATTTAAAACACACGACGTCAGTCTTCAAGTACACTCAACTTATCCTTTCCAGCAAAGCCAGGGGCAACAGAAAAGCTTTTTGGGTGATTCAGAACCCGTTCAACTGGCCTGACTGCCGTTTCTGTTAAAGTTCAACCTCGGTCCGGACTCCAGCAGGCCCGCTCCGCCACACTGCGGCTCTCCGGGCTTCCGAGCAGAAAATGCAGGCAGCCGGGCGCCGTCGTGCCGCGCCTCTCCCTGCCTTGCTCTCCGCGCCCCGCTTCCTTCGCCCCCGCCTGCCTCCTCCCTCCCTGCGCCCCGCTTAGCCGCTCACTTCTCGTAAGGGAGGAACCGGTCACCTCAGTCCCTGCGCAAGCACCGCTGGAGCTGCTTCCCGGGCCGCTCTAGCGGGCTCCGTCTCCCCGGCGCCCCGATTCTTTGGGGTGGCTCCGTCCGCCTGACGTAGGCTCCCCGCTTGTTAAGGACGGAAGAGGAGGCAGAACCGGCCCGCCGGGCGCGGGGCAGGCACCGGGGCCCGGCCCGGCCTCGCGCTCCCT